TTATCAATTGATAAAGAATTTTCTCCTCTTTCGAGCTGTATATGATTTGTTTTTCTCAAACATTCATAATGAATGCAGTGCAAAGAAACAAAGAGAGATACTCGTACAAGAAATTTGCTATTTTTACATAGACTCGTGAAAAAAGATCTTGCAGACGATAGTTAATTTGATTTTTATCAACCCGCCAAAGAGCTCTACCAAGACAGTAATTGATTCGTTTTTGTAAACTGATCAAAATGATCTTGTAAAATAATCGATAGTTATAACATCTTGACGAATCCATATAAAAATCGTGTAGTTTTTATGTGAATGGTTTGGACATCATTTTAATTATACATGTGTGCCAAAAATAAATTATATACAATTCACAAAATCAAAGAAAAATTGCCACATCAACTGATAGAAAATTTTCTTATTACAACACCTCTCTTGAAAAGATATAGGGTTCAACATTTTGTGCCATTATTCTTGCAACGTACGTTACATATGAATTTAAGCGAACAACAATGAAATTATCTTTATTCAAGCTCTTTTTTCTTGTACGTCGCCCTTGACAATTATTGTCAATACAATAACAGAAAAACAGAAAACAAAACAATAGCACACGTTGCCTTTTATCATTTATTTTTAATGAATAGAAGACTGACTAAAATAGAAGTTTGGTAGTAGAGATTGAAATAAAAAAAAACAATTTACTTCTATTTGATTAGATTTACTTCCAACTTTTCTTGATTTGAAAATCATTAATTTGAAATCGAATAACTTTAGAAAAAAATATGAAATATCATGAAAAATAGAACCATTGCTAATAATATGGTACATATTTATATACTTTGAGAATGATAATTTTATAAAAATGACTTTAAATTTAATTATTAATCCTAACAAAGAATGAGATTTATTTTGATTGAAGACATATATTTGAAATATATTTGAAACTAATTTCTCTCATTTACATCATCACAAACATTCCGACATATTCATAAAACAGAGATGTACATTGCGCGACCCTGTCGTCGACACGACAGCAGCGATTCGATTGTTAAAAAGTTTCTAGTTTTTGTTTCTTAAGAAATCTAAAATGCATAGAGTATGATTTATTTTGTTATTCAGATTAATCGATATTTAGAAGTTGATTTACCATTATTGAAAGTTAAGAAAAATTCACTTGAATTTTGGTCAAGTGATTTTGTATCATCAAAGTTTCCTTTATTAAAACGTTTTGCTCGAAAATTGATTTAAACTCTTGATGCTACTAACAAATATCAAACAAGTTGATTGAAAAAATCAGTGAATAGTTTTGTTTTATAAAATAAATGTTTTATTTATAATTTGTTAGAAAGGAATAAATGAAGTATAAACAATCGAACAAGACCTCTAAAAAATCCGTTAAAATTTAGTTAAAACAGTTTTTTTGACGAATTTTATGGAATTCACATATAAACAGACAACTAGCAACGAAGGTCCTCATTACAGACCTTGGCAATCGAGAATAATAGGCGTGAGATTTTCAATAGTTTTTTTTTTGCAAAACTGATCAAGTTATAATTTTGAAAGATGATCAACATCACTGTTTGTGAGTTGATTAATATATATATAATAGTGCATAAGATCTGCTGTAGATATAATGGATATGTAAAACAGACGTATTTGCCAATTAATTCAATGATTATAATAATAAGAATATTAAATTAAGAAAAATGAAAAATAGCGAGCAAATAGCAACAATACAAACAAAAAATAGGACGTCCGTAGAGAAAATAAAAAATCTCTGTTCAAAATATAGAAATTAGAAAGATTTTTGATCTAATGTTCGATTATCCTGCAAAATAACTATAGTTTACAAGAGATTTTTCATTTTACATATTTTGTATTAATTTAATAAGGCTAGCAAACATATGTAAGTTTCACATTTCAGCCCCAAAGAACCTACGCTGACAAGCTTTTTTATATGTCCTTGCTGATCAAAAACGGCTTACACGTACGTGCGTGATCATACAAATGCAATAATACTTTGTAGATGCATGCTTCACTGATTTCTACCAAGAGAAATGTATTTTTCGTCGATTTTTCTTTATTTTATAATCAACAAATATATATATATCCATTGTAGGAGCGCTGTTTCGAAATCATACACATATACCTATTTGCCAAACAACAACTGATTATCGACATTGATCTGTATAACATTCAACATCGCGAATACAAAATGGCGAATACAATAAAGTTGATCTTTTTTCTGTTCTTCATCATGACACTACTAGAAAAAGCCAGAGTATGGACAGCACCACATGGAGTTAACAAAACACGCAATATTCATAAAGCTGATACGGTCACTGTCACGCCTATAATTGGTTTATTTTCAACGTTGCTATATTTATCATCAAATTCCTAAACAAGTTTTCTGTTGATGAATAAAATATTTGAATTAAATTCTACTTTACATCATTCATTTTTCACGTGATTTTCGAGCATATTAGTAATTCTAAAAGCTGTCATTTAACGTGAACTAAATATTTGAATAGAAACTTCCTCCTGCTGGTGATTGTATGATATATTCGATTGATATTTGGCCTTTGAATATATCACGGATTCTAAATCAATGGTTCGAAATGCTCAAAATAGTTAAATAGAATATTTCTATACAATATTCATTTCTTATGTGACCTTCGAGTATATTACTAATTCTAAGTCATTGATCTTCATTGAGTAAAATATTTTAATAGTAACTTCCTGTTTGTATAAGTCATTCATTGTCGACATAGATCATGAACACACGATCCGTTCTGAATCTTTGATTTAAAGTTGGCAAAATATTTCCATAAAAGCTTAATTTTATGTGTATGAAGGGCTACGTATGTGCTATTCGCAATGGCTGTACGAATTATTCATTTTATCGCGTGATGCTAGAGTTTATGGTCAGTTTTAAATCATTTGGTTCAAATGAGAAAAAATTGTGAACAGAAATTTGCTATGAAATATTCATATGGCATGTGGTCTGTGACTATATTATTAATTCTACATCGTTAATTTAAAGTAAGCAAAGAGAGTTGAATAAGACCTTACTTGTGTTCCTAGTATGAACTTGTCAGTTGCCTTGTGATCTTCATCCATTTTAAAAAGCTATTCATTATTCCATCGAAATGAGATCAATATTCGAATAAAGCAGTCCATAAGTCACGTATGTTGTATTGTTTCGAGCAGTTATGATTCTCAAATTAATTCAATGTTTTTTTTCAGACAACATAGCATAACGCGTATACATATCGAAAAACCTCATCATATATCATCAATGCTATAAAACATTCATCTTTTTTCTCTTCGCTTATGTTTATTATATACTTTTATCATTGAATATTAATAAAAATATATCTATGAAAAAGTGCTTTCCTTTAGACATTTCAATTAATACTATGGTTTGGTGCTTGAAATCAATACTGTAACGACGAACTGAGAGAACAGAAGTGCATGTGTGTGTCTGTCATTAGATATGATGTTTAATCGGCTATTTCATATTTTCGATTATGATTCGCCTATGTTTGTGTTATCTTTTTATATCGAAAACTAGCAACACAACTAGAGAATAAAAACAAAGTTTGAGTGATTATTGGTAGTGAATTGACAAGTAACAAAATAGCATTTGCATTCTAGCCAGAATGATAGGAATCGTGACATCAGCATCTGACACGTTCAGATTGAGAAGTGAGAGTTACAAATATATCATACGTCTATGAAAAATGTATGAGTTTTATGACGTTTTTTTCCATCTGATGTGAAAAGTGATAGATGTTCTTTTTTTCTAAAACAGATAGTCTACAATATATCTCATCTTCGATGTCTTTCTGACCGGCTCAAGAACTCTACGAATACTTAACAACTACCATCTATTCTTTCTTTGATGACAAAATTGAAAATCTTGCTCAACGCTTAATGCTTTATGCTAACAAATCTTTGGCAAAATATGCCGAATTTACGTCATTTAACCATCGAAATCGAGAATATTTGCATAAATGGATATCAACAGGACTAAATTATCATAAATCATATGATCAGACTCAATGTGTTTCAACTTTGAATGACTTTCTATTCGAATAAAAACAAGATTATTTTCGAACAAATCGCTAGATTGGTTAACTCATTTTGTATGCCATCCTGACTCAATGAGCACCAATAGTTTGTGCGATGTGATTGAGGTTTAGAAAACACAACTGATTCTATCTGCTAGTATATCTCACCTTACACTTTTGACAAATTCATCTGGATCTGGGTGTGGGTGGGGTGGGTGGGTGTGAGTGTGACTGTGGCTATCGCTGTGGCTTTGGCTATGGCTATGCCTGTAGCTGATGGAAGTAAAATAACCCACAGCCACACTCACATCGACATCCACACACACCCTCCCCCCTCCCCCCACCCTCACATCCACACCCACTCCCACACCCTACACCCTACACCCCACACCCACACCTACGCCCTATTTTGTTAAAAAGAAAAGATAGTATCGTCAGATATGACAGGAAACCCGTCAAATCTCGCAGTGCTCCGGCACGGTTCCGCAGCAGGGTGGTATGGCATCACGCTTTGCAGATCTCTAATTAGTATATTTAAACGAATCAGGTTTTTTGGGTCGGATCCGGCTTGATTCCGAAAATTTGAACTCACGCAGAACTCTATCATATTCTGCAGTTAAAAATTATCTCCAATACAATACAACAGTATGTCTTGATAGCGAGTCTGTTTTTCTGCATCCGGTATCCGTGTATCACTTTTTTACATTAATGACATTTGATATTTACATGATTAAACGAGAAAAACTTCAATGTCATGAAGCATGTTCTCTTTACATTGAGCAACTCGATATACTTTATATTATTTTACTAGGAGAACAAAATGTAACGTTTTGATTCTTTTATAGAGTATGCTCACCCTGTAATTCATTATCAAATTATTAAAAAAATATGATTAGAACATCTCATACAATGTTTATTTGCGTTGTTATATTGATGCAAATTTCTCTTGTTAAATATTCAAATGGATATTTTCATTTATATGAAACATTGAGTATGACAGAAAATCATATAACTCATTATTATGATTGTTTCTATGCTTCAATGTTCTCAGAAACATCCAACATAGAACTTTTATTAAGACCATACTGTATTCGTCCGGATGATAATGATTTGGAAAGAATTAGATCGATCAATGAATCACAAATATTCGGTAAACGCTTTACTTTTTTTCAACTTCGTCAATTGAATGTTACTGATGAAAATCTATATGAATGGTCTGCTCCAATTCATACAATAGAACATTATCAGTTATATATGACTGATTCATCTGTTCAAGATGGAATTTTTTACAACTGTTCATCACCATTTTGGTTTGGATCATTTTGCCAATATACATTGAATTCATTGGATTCATTTAGTGAAATTGTCATCAAAAGATTTCAATCTAGGAATAGTGATGCACTTTTGCACCAAAATCTAGTCCTTTTAAATATAACACGTGGTACATGTTACATTCATTTAAAATGTAATCGTGGTCCACCACCAATGTGCCTTGATTGGAGAGAAATATGTAATAGGAGATGTGATTGTCTAAACAATTGCATTGATGAAGAAAGTTGTTTTGAATTGGAAATAAACGAATGTGATCAAGATCAATTTCGTTGTAAGAATGGGATGTGTATTCCAAATAGTTTAGTTCGTGATCGTAGTTCTTTTATTGATTGTATGGATGCGTCAGATGAAATATCTTTTGTAGTCTTGCAAGCGTTAAGCCTATCGTGTTATAAAAAACCGACTTTTGATTGTGATACAATAACATGCAGTGAATTTGACCTCTTTTCATGTGGCTATGGGGGATGCTTTGTGGGACTTCCAATGTATTTCTCTCAATCGTGTGAGAATCAACGTGATCGATTATATACTGAAGCACTATTCATGTACGATAATACAAGTGAGATCTCAGAAAAATGTTGGTTGGCAATGATCTGTGCAACATATCTGGGCCGGCATATCAAAAATGTCAACTGCACCCATACTAAGTTGGTTCAATTCGAATGTCCGTCACGTTTCTTCTTCCCATCGGCATCAACATTATTCAATAGTATTCGTTTTTTTTTCGAACTAAATAATTCAACACCAATTGTACCGAGCTATATTTGTTATAAAACGAAATGGTGTGATAAGTTTTTGCGTGCAACATTTTATATTAATGGATCGGCATGTAAATATCTTCATGAATTTCCTTTCTTTAATATTGGACATCCGACTAGTGGTATATTGTATGCAGTTGAACTGTTTTATGAAGAAGTCGTGCTATTTTTTAAAGAATGGTGTCCATCGTCTGAATTTGAGTCAATAATAACCACTGATGGTAGTTGTTCCCATTCTGCTCTTTTCTATTGTAATGGTACATCAAAATGTATATCAAAATATCGTGTGCTAGATGGAAATATTGATTGCTATCAGTCATATGATGAGTTATTTAATGAAAGTTGTTCTCTGAATTTATCACACCGATTTTACTGTCCATCCGATGCAAAATGTATACCACAACAGCAGTTAAAAGATAGTAGGAATGATTGTTCAGGGCAAGAAGATGAATTGATTACAAACCGTGATTGCTTTTTATATAATCAATATGACAAAGAAAAAATAATCTTTTCGAAAATTTGTGACGGTTTTACGGAAATGTCACCAATTCTAATTGATAATCAAAATGAAAGTGATGAAACAAATTGTCAGTATTGACCATGTGATACACAATATACACATTGTGATAAAGTATGGAATTGTTATAATGGTGCTGATGAATTAAACTGTTCATACATGATTTATCCCTATAATTGTACATCTAATGAACATCATTGTATACAAGTTGATAATAACAAACAAGGAATAACTTTCGATACAAAGATTTCTCATGATTGTTTGTCAGTGGAATTCGCCGGAGACAAACAAATTAATTGTTTAGGATCAACAGATGAACGAGATTATTGTCGTTTAAATTATCCAAATGAAGCAAATAGACGATATCGTTGTTGGAACGATACAACATGTATTAATATCCATCAGTTGTGTGATTGTATACGTGATTGTCAGCTTGGAGATGATGAAGCCATCTGTTCTTGGTTACGTGGAGGATTGGATGTATGTTTTCCTGATAAGTTTATTTGCAGTAACAATAAAGTTGTTTTAAGAAAACACTTGTGTGACAGTAAACTATCTTGTAGTAAAAAAGAAGAAGCATTAATTTGTGACTTGACTGAATGGAATAAACCAGAACGAAAATATTTTTCTATTGGTAACTATTTTAATCAATATCCTGATATATTATTGCAAAACAATGAACAATTATCAACTACAATGAAAACAATGCTAAACAAACAAAAAAATGAAAAAAATAATGATTTATTGTTACAATGGTATTGCAATGAAGGTGTATTAGTTTATTCAATTGATCAGAAATTTTATTGTTTTTGTTCACCAGTGCATTATGGCGATCGTTGTCAATATCAAAATGAATTTATCGGTTTAGTTTTGAATGTTCGGCGAAAATCAGCACGTGATTATTTATTTCTATTTCGCATAATCATTATTTTGCTTGACGATAAAAAGAATTTATTATTTCAAGAACAAATTTTATATAGATCTTCATGTGAAAAACGACATCAAATGTATTTACTTTATCCTAATCGACCAAAATTAAAAGATAAAAATTATTCTATTCGTTTCGATGTTTATGCTATCCATCGTTTACAAAACACAATTCAATTTCGAACAAGTTTTTATCATAAAATTCCATTTACATTTTTGCCTATTCATCGATTTGTTATTAATTTAGCTATACCAGAAAAACAGGCACAAACAAACTTATGTAATAATATTCAGTGTCAAAATGGAAAATGTTATCGATATGAAAATTACAACCAGTATTATTGCCGATGTGATTATGGTTGGTTTGGTGAATTTTGTCATCTTCGTCATAAATGTAATTGTTCTTCTCAATCAATGTGTACTGAAACAGGTTGTATATGTCCTTTAGGAAAATCTGGTTTATTATGTTATGTTCCTGAAGAATTATCTTGTAAAGACATTGTTTGTCAACATGGTGGAACTTGTATAGCTCAGGATCAACGAATTCTGGAAAAAGATTCTCAATGTATTTGTACGGACGAATGTGAAGGTGAATTTTGCGAAAAACGTCAAATGCGTATTATAATTCATTTCAATAATATTCAAATACCATCATCAATACTGATTCATTATCTTATCTCAAGAAGATCTCGAAATCCAGATCATTTAACACAATTTAAGCGAATTTCTGTATATGAAAATACTGTTACCTTATATCCTTCGATGCAATATAATATGGCTTTTGTTCAGTTTGATAATAATTATTATTTAGTCGTTCTACATTCACTTCCTGTACATCACGATGTGAGCACAACTGTTATTCCTTCAAATAAATGTCCTTATTTTGAAGAATTATTTGATCGTAGTACATTTTTATTTCATCCATTAAAACGCATCAAATATTATCCTCTAATATGTCAAAACAATATTAAGCTTGTATGTTTTTATGATCAAACACAAATATGTTTATGTTCAAAAAATTATTTAACCGATTGTTTTGATTTCAATCATAACGGAACAAGTTCATGTAATGAAAATAATTATTGTGAAAATAATGGAAAATGTTATGTTAATGATTTAACATGTCCGACAAAATCTATTTGTATATGTGAACAATGTTACTATGGTACATTGTGTCAATTTACTACTTCAGGTACTGTTCTATCATTAGATTCTATTATTGGTTATCGTATAGAACCACATTTACCATTTGCTAAACAATCTTTTATCATTAAATTAAGTACAGGAATTACAATATCAATGTTTGCAGTAGGTATTATTGGTAATCTTTTGTCGATAATGTTATTCTCACGAAAGAAGGTACTCGAAGTTGGCTGTGGTATCTATTTGTTATCATCTTCAATTCTGTCATTTTTAGCAATGAATGTATTTGCATATAAGTTTTGGAGTTTACTTGTAACGCAAATGGCATTAGTAACAAATGAAACCTTTTTACATGTCAATTGTAAAATGATTGATTTCGTATCGAGATTTTTACCCACAACAATCGATTGGTTGAACGCATGTGTTGCTATTGAACGAGTTCTTAATATGACAATCGGTGCTCAGTTCAGTAAAGTAAAAAGCAAATTTTGGGCAAAATTTGTAATCATTATGGTTATTTTAATCAACATTATTAGTGTTATACATGATCCGTTAAACCGACGGTTGCTTAAAGATATTGAAGAACAGCGTATTTGGTGTATTGTTAGTTACACACATTCATCATTGTTGAATGTCTACAATACGACTTTAAATGTAATTCATTTTATTGTACCATTTGGAATTAATTTCACATCAGCTTTTGCTATTATTGTAATTGCAGCACGTAAACGATCTGTTGTTCATAAAAATCAAACATATCGTGAACATTTAAGAGAACAATTTCAACAGCATAAACATTTAGTCATTAGTTCATCTATTCTTGTTATATTAGCTTTACCAAGACTTATTATTTCATTTTTTTCAGGTTGTATGAAATCAGTTCGTGATCCATCACTATTCTTAGCTGCTTATTTTATTTCCTTTATTCCACCGATTTTAATATTCATTATATTCGTAATACCGTCTCAAACCTATACAGCTGAATTTAACTTATCATTGAAATATTATCTTGCGACACCTCGACGTTATTTTCATGTTACATAGATTTTATTGTTTTTTTGTATGTTTATGTGCCTTTTCTCTTCGGACATATGTATTCTGTCTTTGCTAATAAAGTGTGCTACTAACGAAAAACTATAATGATTAGAGTACGATATGAATAGTACTGAGATTAAACATATTGCTCACACCTATCATTAGTTCTTGTAGAGAGCAAGAATTCTCTAAGAAAAACTCGAAAATTTTATTGAAAGTTTTTTTTCCTTTGAACATCCATCTTCCTATTTTAGGTGCTCTATCCGCGATAAGAATTTTAATCGAATCGATTTTTCCTAATATCAGAAATAGACAGAAAAGAGAAGAAGACCCTTAACAACGAAATAAATTAAGTTTTATACATCATGTAGTCATTTCGAAACATTCGTTATGTTTTAAACTGAAATATACTGGATCAGTGACTATATTCACGTTTTTAGTTTTAATCTCCTTATTTCAAGCAAAGTAGACATTGAAAGAATCAAGGGTTTTTTAATAAATGTTACAGGCTATCTTGTCGTATTCGTAAAATTTCAGATATAAAATGCACAGTTACGTATTTATATAAAAGAAATTTTTTGCATACCAGTTTAATAGAAAATCTTCTAAAATAAATTATTATTCATTAAAATGCAATTTTGTACTTGTTTATTTTCTTGAATGTTGGAAAAACAAAAATGCAGAATACTACCAATATTTTTGTGATATAAATGCTTAAAACCTATCCAGAAAATTTTAAGTACATTTCAATTCACAAAAGAATAATTACAAGCATAACAACGTCTTGAACCTGAAGTAATGTCATTCGACGACAAAGTTGCGTAGCTAGTTTGATCAGGAAGGATTTTCACCTCGATGATCTTAGTTTCTCCAATTTTGGTAACTTCTACGTCCACTACTGTAGTTGCAACATTCCCAGGTCAAGAGTGGATCATCCAAGGGGAACAAGCGTACTTCTGAAGGACAGAAGTATCGAGAAGTACGAAAGAAGTATGCCTTTTTAACCTTGATTTTTACCCATAGACAGAACAAAAATGTTTTATTTTTTGAGAATAGAATTTTTTGACATTTCGCAATGGCAGGACACCCTTGTTCAATGATAGAGGTTTCGCACAACAGCTCAAGTGGACTAAAGCGAGAAATGGTACCGAGCATATGATGCTTTATGTCACTGTAAGGGTGTGGGGTGTGGGTGTGGGTGTGGATGTCCGTGTGGATCAGAAATATACCGGCACCCACGTACCCACACCCACACCCATACCCATACCCATACCCACACCCTTTATCTACTGACGGCATTTTCAGACCTGCAAACCTACCCTTTATGGGTAAAAAGTCTGAAAAAAATCGATATTTTCCTTGAAAAACCTTAAAAACCCATGTTTTCTTATCATTTTTCTAAAAATCAGATTTTTGATCAAAACCAAGAAGTTTTCCCCCTTTTTCTCCGGAACGGCTAGACCGATCGAGCTGAAATTTTTTTTATAATAACTAGGTCAGATTTGGGGTGCATGTTTTTTTTTTACAAAAATATCGTTTCTAGAATTTAGGACAGGCAAAACAATAGAGACACTTGATCCTTTCCATGGTGCTATTTTTTCTAAAGGCCGTCGAATTTCATAGAAGTTATATTTTTGTAAAAAAAATAACACGCATCCCAAATCTGACCTAGTTATTATAAAAAAAATTTCAGCCCGATCGGTCTAGCCGTTCTGGAGAAAAAGGGGGAAAACTTCTTGGTTTTGCTCAAAAACCTGATTTTTAGAAAAACGACAAGAAAAGATGGGTTTTTAAGGGTTTTCAAGAAAAATATCGATTTTTTTCGGACTTTTTACCCATAAAGGGTAGGTTTTCAGGTCTGCAAATGCCGTCAGTAGATAAAGGCCATTAATATCTATATCCAGTCGCAAAAAACAAAAAATCAAAAAGTTTTTATCGGGAAAGAGGGGGGAGTCCCTTAAGAGAGACTAAAAATATTTATTTCATTTTTTGTACTCTCTTTTGGATTAATAATATATGGAAAGGGCTAATGGAAATCCTTTGGCATGGTTTGCTGAAAATTGCTGTGATAAATACATAAAAAAAGTTTATGGTATCGACGAATTTTTCACTATTTAATTATCCAGTACATTTTTTTATCTAGTTTAGAAGAAGAAATTGATGATTTATTTTTATTACATTTAAGTTGATTATCAATTCAAGAATTATTATTGATTATACAGATGATAATATTAGTAAAAAACCAACTATTGATGTAAAAACAACATTCGAAAAAAACTGGAGAAATTGAGAGAGAGTGTTTTTTCAAGTAATAAGCAAGTGTTTATCCATTTGCTTTAACTGATCAGCGTTGCTTTCTTTTTTGTTTTAGTAGTATACTTATACAACAATTACAGTTCAATAGATCAAATATTTTATCGTTTTTCAATGATTTCAATATCGGTAATGTAAAATACGATGTTGAAAAGCATCACGAACTCAAAGTATATCTACCAACTTCATATACGTCAACTCAATCATCTTTATTGAATTCAAATTGTTTACAACCTAGTGATGTACCACTTGACAAAATGGTCCATCAACCATTGAATAATTCTTCAACAAGCTGAACAACATCTCACTTAAAAAAAAGTTCCATTGAGTTATGTGCTATCATGGTTTGATAAAATTTTTGAAGAAGTTGCTGAAGATCCATTACCAACAGACTTTTGAGCATGAGGCAGAAAGAAAGAACAATTAGTTAAAACAATTCGTCAGAATGTGGTCTATATTTGTGGTATCAATTTTTATTCAACAGCATTTGAATTCAATCAAATGATGGTTAACGTCAAAAATAAATATCTAGCACTTGGTATACTATTAGTGGAGATATGATATGTTAGGTGAAAGACCGAATACTTTTTTAATCTTTACTTAATTTTTTTTCTCATTTAGAGTGTTTTTAGCATGACCATTAAAACAAAAAGTATTCGCTTATTCATCTGAAATATTGGTGAAAAAAAGGAAAATCATACGATCATCGAATGTCAAGACTGACATTGAAATTTTAAAGATTGACTATACATTTAGTCGAGTAAAAGTCAGACTATTATGTTATATTCTCTGAATTTTTTTTGTTCTTTAAGAATGTTTCGTTGAATAAAAAGAACAATCAGAAGAATCGTCGATGCAATTATGTCAACAAGCCGACTAGACGCATGTTTTAATTAATACAACAAATTATGATTATGGTCAAGTAAAAGTTAAAATGAATATTATTTTCATTTGGTAGGTTTTTTCTCCTTATGTTAAAGAAAACAACATCAAAGGAAACATTCATGTTACAATCAGATGTTGCTCGCTACACAGATAATTTAAACATCTTTCTGATTAGAAATTTAGACAAACGAATAACAAACTACATCGAGAAAAACAACGCTTGTTTACTATAGAGGAAACCTAATAAAACTATGGCAAATATAATTCAAGTAAATTTGTCTTGTACTACAAATTAAATTTGATTTTCATATACTTATGTAGGTGGTCGAAGAGATATTGTTCTCCTATTATTTGCAACTATTTGTATTTGATATAGTTTTGGTATATAATAGAGAAAGTAACCTGAAGAAAACATTGGAGAAATTCACGGTGGTGCATTGAGGAGAAGCATTCTATCAAACTGAAATAGATTAGGCAAGAAAAGATACAGTATTTGGTGATTATTATATTGGTTCAATTGACGATGACGATGATCAAATTAATGGAAGTAATAGCGAAGAAGATGATAGCTCTTGTGATGATGATAAATTACTCGATAAAAGAACCATATCTGTTAGTTATACCTTTACAACACCAAGCCGAATCAATGTTCTCACTATTCTTGCTCAATTACTATTAGTTTCAAAACGTGTTTTAGTAACTATTATCTAGTACAAAGAGTTGACGAAGTATACCAAAAAAACAATGTAAATCCAATATCAAGATTCTTTTGTTACTAACTTAGAGAAAATAGAAAATCTGAACGCTTTTAAAAAATTCTTACCAGATAGAGAACCTTTTCAATAGGCACTATTTTAAGAACCTTTTAAGGGTCCTAGACTTTTCGACTAGAACTTTTTTTCTCTGAAAATTGTGAGCAAAAAGGTTCTAATTTGAAAGTCTAGACCCTCTAAAAGGTTTGATAAAATGATATTCATTGAGTAGGTTTTGTATGATGTCTGCTTTTTTTCTTTTTTCTTTTTATAGAAAACGGTTCAATAAAAAAAACTAATTTTTTTTAAGTCTTTAAATCCATTACTTGAAATATTTAATGAAAAAAGTTTGAACAAGGAAAGAATTAATATAATTAGATCATCTATGCTAGATAAAATAATTGATTTTTTAAAACCATGGACTCATGTAATGAAACGTATTCAGTCATTGCAAATATCATCAATACATACAGTAACACCAAGTTTATTTATAATAAATTCTTCATTAAATATAAGCCAAGTGATTATAAACAAGAAAAAGGTCAATGATTACAATTTTTTTTATCTACTTTTACTAAATAACTTTTTTTTTACAGGTATTGATTTTTTCCGTAAACGAGAACAACAAGTGATCAAAGGATTGATTTCTTTCGATCCCATACATCTAATGAAAACTTTCTTCAACCCTAAGACACAAAAAAAATGAAGCAGTCGTCAACAAAATAAAGAGAAGAATGTATTGAATACGTAAAAGAACTGTTGCTTTTTTATGTTAATCAGCACGTTAAATCACCTTCAAACGAGAAATCAGTTTCATTATCAACAAATGCTTTATTTCTAAATGTGACAGATTTTTATTTAAATGTAGAATTTGATGACGAAGATCATACTAATCAATACGGTTCGTCAAAGTCTTCATCACATATGATCCAAATTGACTTGTATTTAAAGTATGGTGCAGATAAAACACATCAGTGACGAATTCTGATCAAGAAGATGAAGAATATTGTCTATTATCATTTTCGAAGAAGAAACATGCTTCTTATCCTATTTTGGTGACAGCTACTGCTCGTGTTTTAGTTGTACCAACTACCAGTGCAGCAGTTGAACGCGAGTTCAGCTTTACTGATAATACTATTACACAAAAGCGCTCAAAATTATCACCAGATTAAGGGAATGATATTGTTTTCAATCATTAATACTGTTACCTATGTACATTGTCAACGTCTTGTCCAAGAGACGAAATCAAACAAAGAGATTGTTTGATTACATTCGTCTTTATTAGTGATCGATTCAATCATTCTTAGAGCGTGTATTTTTTTGATCGACTAATAATTCATTCAAATATTGTTGAGTTTGAGCAATTCGTTCAAAGAAGCTGGCATAATCTCAATATCACATATACATTTATTTTATTTTTTTCATGAACAATTGATTCGTAAAATCAATCTTTGTTCTGATCCATTTACTGGAAGTAGTATTCAAGCATTAAAATCTTGTAAAACTGTGATTAAATCATGTGAGTAATGTATTGACTATTTTCAAGTTATTCTATAATTTACATCGCTCAATTTTATCCTTGTTGATTGTGAGAAACAATTAATGTATAAAATATTCAATACAAAATATCTAGGCAAGGTTCGAGAAATGTTAAAGGTGTTGAATGATTTTTGCTTGAACAAATGATTATTTGCCTTATCGTTCGCAGTTAAACCATTTTTAGATGAATATAAACTGAATAATCATGCATTATGAATATACATTATTCTAGGTATAATGGCTTATGTAAGATAGAATTTTTCAAACTTATTAGTAGTTTTCGAATTGAATAGTAATAAAGTTGAAGTCGATTTTCCAATGTTTCAAGAACACTTCAAGAGCTAAATTCAATGCGAGATTCTAGTAAGGAGACATTTTTGCATAAACAGTTTTCAAAGGATATTTAAGACTAGAATTCTTCTAATTAATTCCATCAAAAATAGTCTCTTTTTTATGGCATACGATATCGAAAAAAATTCGAAATATTGAAGAAAATTTAGTTAATTCAAAAAAAAATGTCCGTAGGCGTTCATATGACAACCTTTGATACGAAACAAGCGTCTTATTTTTAATAATAGATGATTGGTGCTTGAGTCATACATTATTTCTCTCTTTGTTGATTATAGTTTGAAATGATAAGATAATGAGATAGATGATCATTGAAACTGTCAAGAAAGATACAACTTATATCAATCAAACGCACTATAGTAATACCTTGTGAGATAAGGAATGAGAAAGAAAAGAAAATATGTGATGATGTAGAATGTTTTTTTTTGATATGCATGGGTATTGATGATATCAAAGGACAAAAGAATATTGAGCTATTTTTATTAGAATCGATTGTTGGTATTAGAGTGCGTGACCATTTGTGATGGTTCTTATTAAGTACAGAAAACAATGAGCTTTCGAAAAAAATGCGTTTAACCATATCTATTCTCTAAAACTGAGAAACGTCACCAGAATATTTTTGTTCTTTGCATTGCCGTCTTCTACTCTCTAAATATAACAAAATGAGGTCATTTTTAAATAAACACAAAATAAAAAAAAAATACGGCAACGAAATATAATATGTTTATTCAAATATAGTTTACTTTTTTACTCAAACAATGACATACAAGGTCATATACAATCATAAGAGATAGAGAGAGAAAGGAAAAGAAAAAATTGAAAAAGAATTATATTTTTGTCCTTGGGAGAATATAGGTTGTCTATATTGTGTTAAATACGTGGATGTAAGCTAACCATCAATGGTATGGTTCTTGCTAATACTAAGCTAGACGAAATTTAAAAAAAACATTAAAGAAGATATTTAGAGTGTAAAATCTTATCCTCACATAAAAGAGTATTCTAGGTTGCTTTTTTTGATAACATGATGCTCAGTGATTTGTAGGTATATATATGTTCGTATGTGTAATATAATGAATAAAATATTCTTGTCGAACTTTTTTCAATATTGATTTATGTTATAAATAGAAAACTGGATGGCATCGTCAATAATCCTCGGGGAAGTATTAATAAAGTACAAATGATATAAGAGTAAATGCTGTTGTGTCGTTGTTTATAGTTTGGCTGTTATCTCCTTACCATAAGTGTCCTTTTGATTATCAGTGAATATTTCATTAAAATTAAGTTTTGACATATTCGTACTTCAAAATAGATAGAAAGTGTTTATGCATCAGTCTAAAAAAATTACGTAAATAAGTATATGGATATAGCTTGCTCATATTTATGAAAAGATTTTTTGTTTACTAGTTAGCTAAGCATAGTAATAAATATGCATGATATGAATTTTCCAATACTAATTCTGGTTTTTTTGGGATATTTGGTGTTGTTTATCACATTCTCAAACTTGACAAAATATATGTCCTAATTAAAGAAAGTGGAAGGAAGACATGATGATTTTTTATTGTTATCGAAAGATTCACGCAACCACTTATGGAATTCATATAAGAAGTCTAAACTAATAACAATCTGGAAGATATATCTTTTGTAAAAATAGAAAAGTTTATGACAAAAAGAAGGAACATATCAGATTACAGTAAAAGGCTCCATGTTCATTTATCCATCAATAGTATCTTTTCGATTGATTACTGGAAAGATCATACAGTGAAAATTTTATATAAATTCTACTTCTTAGAAAATCGACTTTAAAAATGCTAAAGGATTTTGAAAATTACATTATTTATTGGTCGAATTAGAAATAGTTCGAAAATGTTTGATTTTTGGACAGATTCATTTTAGAAAATCGAAAATCAACAGTAGTTTTAAACAATATTCGAAATTCTATTTCTATTTCGAGAAAATCTTTGTACTAATAATGACTTGTTTTTTTATGTCGTATAAGAAACTTGTGTTTCATTCGTGTGTCTTGTCTGTGTACTTTTGCTGAGTAATATTTTTTAATTTCTTGATATTGATATATCTATTCAATTTGTTTTGAAATCCTTCGTATTATTTCCTTATAGAAGACTTAAGAACAAGTAAAAATATCGTTTTCATTTTTTTTATTGGTCTACTTTATTTTAGATTAATAATATATTGAATGGAGTATTGAAAATGTCTCCAGATGATTGGCTGATAATGATTTAGATAAATACGTTGACAAATTTTAATCTATCGGCAAATCACTTACTATTTTACTATTCAGTCTATTTTTCATTCATTTCAGAAGACGAACTTCGTGATGTATTACTATAGCATTTAAGTTCATTATCAATTTTTAAGGAAAATAAAGTTTTTCAAGTAATAAGTAAGTATTTGTTCATTTGCTTTAGCTGATTAATTTTGTTGTCTTTTCTGTTTTAGTAGAGCTGTGGTATTAAGCAAAAAATATCTGATACATTCAAACAATAATTGCACTTCCATAAATCCAATAATTTATCATTTTTCAATATTGATAGTGTACACCACTACAGAGAATATCAGTATCAGCTTAAAATATCTCTACTAAGTCCATATACATCAACTCAATCGTTGATTAATCATTATTGAGTTCAAATGTTTTACAACTTACTGATGCACCATTTGTCCAATGATCCATCAACCATTAGATAATTCTTCAACAAGTTCAACAACATTTCAATCAAGAAAAAAATTTCCATTACATTACGTGCTTCCAAGGTTTGCTAAAGTTTTTCGAGAAGCTATTCGAGATGCATCACCGGCAAACTTTCCAGCACGATGATAAAAGAAACAATAATAGTTATAAAATAATTCATCATAATGCAGTCAATACTTATAGTATTGATTTCTATCTAACATCGTTTGAATTCGATCGAATAATAGTTGCCATAAAAAAAATATGCAGCATTTAGTAAAATATTCAATGAACATATGGTATGCTTAATACAAGATCGAATACATTTTTATCTTTACTTTATTGTTGTTCTCTCGTTTAGATACTTTTAGCATCAGTGTTAAGACAAAAATTTTCTTGTCGTCGACAAGTATACCATTATTTGTCTGAGGCAGTCATGAAGAAACAACAATCGTATGATCATCAAATGTCAGGACAAAAATTGAAATATAAGAAGATTAATCAAGTATTTCGTCGAGTATAGATCAAACTATTGTTTTACATATATTCTCTAATCTTTTTGTCTTTTTAGGAATGTTTGGTTTTAGAAAAAGGACCATCAGAAGAGTCTTTAATGCAATTATGTCAACAAGTCGAATCGATGTATTTTTTTAATTAATAAAACAAATAATAATGATAGGTCAGTTAAAGTTAAAATTCATTCATATAAGCTTGCATAATCTCAAAATTACATATAAATTTATTTTTATTATTTTATTTTATGAATAGCTGATTCCTAAAATCAAGTCAATCTTCGTTGCCGTTTATTTGACGAAGAAATAGTTCAAGGTTTAAAATCTACTTGTACAAAATTATTCAGATATTTAAAACATGAAACAAAAAAATATATTTCTGAAGGTAATACATTATGCTAATCTATAAATAGTATTTTCTTTCCAAAAACTGTTATTAGATAATGCTAGTAATCTATAACCATTTAAATTATTGTATAATTCTCATCACTTATTTTTATTATTGTTTATTTTAGGAATTAATTGAAACATATTCGATCATCCAGATAAAATCGATTAACAATATTAAAAATTAATCTTTGTGTAATTTTTTTCTCAATTCTTTTAAAATAAACTATTTGTTAATTCTATTGATAGTAGTTCTAGAAGTTTTTTTTTCACCGGATTGTACTACTTTTATTTGTTTTGCATTATTTGTTTTAAACGCTGCATAAAATGAATAAAATAAACTCAATTGTATAATGAAAATTGATTTTTCAGTTTTTTAAAAATGTTCTTATTACGGGAAATCCTTCAAAATCATCAATTCATAAAATTTCACGAAGGAATAAGATATCTGAACATATAATGAGATATACTAGTGTTAAAAGGTGTTACTCTTGAATGCACACTATTTTACTTTCGTTATTATTGATTTTTGTCATGCTTTTCGATTTTCTCTCTTTGTTTTTCTTCTCTCGGTTATTGTTGTTCTTGCTATTTTTGTTATTATTAGGGTTTTATGATGATTATACCTTTGACCGAGAAAGGACGGTCAGTGAAACTTTAATATTTTGTCGATTCTGTGCGATGATTATAAAGAGAAAAAAAAAGTTATTATATGATATAGGGCACATTCTGGCGAACATTCATCTGACTCTTCATCGCCGTCAATTAATCTATGTGAACGACGTGAGACAGAACAAGCAAAACAACTGTAATATTTGTATGAAACAAACGCAATATGTGATCTATATTTTATGCTCGATCGATCCAAGTACAGACATTTACAATCAAAAGTCAGATGTATTTCGCGACCTATATATAGGTAGCATATTGCTTCATTCTCACTCAAAAACCAACATCGATCAAATTCAAGTATTATTCTGATATTGGACAGAACATATTTCATACCAATTTAACAAGTAAGTGTATGATTTTTGAAATTGCAGTCTATTTCAGTAATATGTTGCCATAATCTTGATAGTTTCTGATGGCATGTTTAAACTATCATCTAAGAACATATTTGTTAGCTGTTTCGTATTTGAACGCTTCATTCCTGCTTTTTTGAGGTCTAACTGCTATTGTATATACCAAATTTCTTAGGCCTGAAGCTCGTTGCATAAAACCACAATTCCATCAATTGCTAAGCTGTGCTGTGGTGAACTTTTCCGATGTTTCTGTCACGTCTTCATATTGACCTTGAGTTTTACAAGGTTCAGTATTTGAGGACAGAAACTTTTTTTGGTTTCGTATAATCGGGTAGATAATCTTCTATGGTTTAGCATTAGGAAACAGAACCTTTTGAAGTTCCGCATTATAAGACAGAACCTTTTCAGTTCAGTATCGTAGAACAGAAAATTTCCTACAGTTCAAGATTTAATAGGCAGAACCCTTCTAAGTTCAGTATTTGAGTACAGAACCTTTTTGGTTTCGTATAATTGAATAAATAATTTTTCATGGTTCAGCATTGAGAGACAAAACATTTTAAAGTTTCGGATTTATAGGACAGAACCCGTCGGATTTAGTACCGTCCAACAAAAAACTTTCTAAGGTTTAGCATTATATGGCAGAACCTTTTTGCGATTCAGAACTGATAGATAGAACCCTCCATAGTTCACCATAATTGAACAAAACCTTTCATGGTTCTTCAACTGCTATGCAGAACTTTAAATGGTTCCACAACTGCTGCAGATCCAAAAACAGTTCTGAAAAACTCCTTTTTTTTAGAGAGTACAACTCAACAAACAGTAAGTAGAAATTATTTATTTCATTTTTTTTTTTTTTTATGATCAAAGACGTTTGGCATATGACATTTTATTGCTGATTTAGAATTTTAACGATTGTTTTTCACTGGCAATAGTTATATAAGCTGACAAGAATAAAATTCTACTAAATCAAGTGAATAAAACTGGTAATAAGTGATTTTTCATCGTCTTTATAAACATTTTAATAAAAGGTATTTGCCCGTTATTTATACTAGTGTTGAATATTGATGACGATGCATTTCCGTGGTACTTTCATGATGATCCGAACAATATTATTCATTGGAATTCTATTAACATTCGTTAATTTAGTTCCTGGAGTAACGGGAATTAATGTTACATATGCTTCTGAAATGCGTATTGATGATGTTATGACACATCTTAATGAATTACAAAAAATTGCAACAGCTTCTAATGGAAATCGAGCTGTTAAAACTATTGGTTTTAATCGTACACTTGATTATATAACAAATTATCTTAAATTAAATACAAATTTCAATATAACAAAAACTTATTTTTATGTACGAAATTTTCAACTTCTTCGTAAACCAACATTTTCATCAACAATTAATGGAATTGTTAAAAAATATACTTATTCAACTTCTCTTTCATCAGCAGACTTTTATTATGTTCAATATTCAACATCGGCTAATATAAATAACAATGTTAATCTTACAGCTATTCCTAATTTAGGTTGTTCAGATGCTGATTGGCTTGCAGCACGTCCACCTCCTGCTGGTATTGTTGCACTTGTTAAACGTGGAGATTGTAGTTTTATAGAGCAAGCTACTCTTGCAAGTAAATACAATGTTGCTGCGCTATTATTTTATAATGATGGTACGGCATCTAACAGAATGCAACCAATTTATATAAGTCTTGGTCAAAATAATCGTGTACCAGCACTTTTTCTTTCATATAATGTTGGTAAATCACTTGCCACTGCAGCAAATGATCCATCAAAAGTTACAACTGTTCGTCTTACAATTGAGACTGATAAAGATTTCAATCCTGTTGGAAATATTTGTGCTGATACGTTAACAGGTGATCCAACTCAAACAATTATCATTTGTAGTCATAGTGATAGTGTTACTGCTGGACCAGGTATTAATGATGATGGTATGTTCAATTAAAACATTTCATATTCATATATATATATATATTGTCTCTTGATTTCTATTTTTACAGGCAGTGGTATTGCAGCTACTCTTGCTTTAGCTGCTACTTTATCACATCTTTTCCAAACATCAAATTATGCTTCTTATGCATATCGTGTTCGATTTTGTTGGTGGGGTGCTGAAGAATTAGGTCTTCTTGGTTCTGATTTTCATGTTTCAGAAGCAAAAAAATCAACTATAGTTGGTGAACGAATACAAGACTATTTAGCCATTATTGATTTAGATATGATAGCATCACCAAATTTTATATTCGCTATTTATGATGGTAAAACAGCTCCAACTAATACTCCAGCAGCTGCAAAACCAGGAAGTATCCAAATGACAACACTATTTCAAGATTGGTTTATTGGAAATAAATTTCCTTGGGATTATACGACATTCGATGGTCGTAGTGATTATGGCCCATTTTTAGCTGCTGGCATTTGCGCGGGCGGACTTTTTACTGGGGCTGAAGAATTGAAGACAGTAGAACAACAAAAGCGATACAATGATACTCTTGGAACAGGTTTTGGAGGAACTGCAAATGTTGCACTAGATAATTGTTATCATAAATCATGTGATACAATAGCTAATATCAATAAATTTGCTCTTAATAAAACGGTACAAGCTACAGCAAATGTTATTGAACGTCTAGGTCAACAATCTAATTTAAAAAGTTGGTTATATCCTACGACACAAATTCAACAACTTAGTAAACAAACACCACAGCGAAAATTTGAATACAATTCCATTAATGAATATTTTGGATTGCCTTATAATTAACATTTTCATTTTGAACTTTTTTTTTGATTCATAATATTGAGATAATATCTCTTCGGAATATATAATATTATAACAATTTTCTATTCAATTCAGTACTTGAAATTTTTATTTCAAATTTAAATAAAGACAAAAGATAGTGATTAGATTTATATCTATTTTTTTTTACCATCAATTGAATAAAAAAACGATCATCTTTTTTTTCTGACATTATTGATAAGCACTTTATTTTTAAGTCAATAAATTTGAATATTATTTTATCTATATATTATATGGAGAGATTTTAATGGTTCGTACTTCATTCGATAAACAGTTAAATTGAAAAATGTCAAAGAGCAAAATATCGTAAAAAAACAACTAATGCGTTATCTATAAGTTGACATCTATAAAAAGTGTTTTTGAAAGTTCCCTATTCTACATCCACTAGTGATTGTAAATGACTATCATAATTACCATTACTTTTAATAAATTGATTATTAGAATTCATATGAACAGTAGCATTACACATAAATTCTTGGCCAATTCAGTACTTTACTTTATTGATCTTATACAGGTAACTATCTTACATTAAATGAGATTGTACTTTTGTTGCTTTTGACAAAAGAAATACCTTTTGACATGTAAAGATGAATAAAATAAACCCTTCTTTATCACAACGAATAACTTAATGGTTACACATATCTTTAGAACGAAATATATGTTGTAATGATTATGTAGCTGAGAATGCACATGGAAAATTATTATTTTATTGATGCTTTGTCTTGTGATCGATCAAACAACCATTTCTTAGAATGAATTCATGCAAACACAAGCGAATAATGTAAATGTTATTTAGATAATCTAAATGATTTTTTTCTCAGAAGAGCTTGTTTTATAATACGGATTACTGCAGAACTCAAGATTAGTTCATGTGAACTATGGTTGCTCAAGGCGATTAGAAGTTGGGGGTAAGGCTCTTATTTCCTGTAATCACGCTAATATTTCATATAATAAAGCAGTAGCACGCATGCGGAAGAAAATATAAAGGGTGTCCCATAATAACTGATGATAAATTGTTTTTGATATTTTTTGTATTTTTTGTTGACCTAGAGAGCTGAAATTTTTATCACATATACATCTAATCATGATCTTCTATTTCTGAAAGTTTCAGCTCTTCAGCTTAGACTAGTCGTGAAATCCATTGACATGAATGAAAACATAAATTTTTCGTAAAAATCTCTTACATCATCTTTATTTCTTGAATAGTGATATGTATCAATAGTATACAAAAACGACTTTGCAAGACAATTTTTTTCTTAAAAACGTAAGTTATAATAAAAAAAACTTTATAAAACAATTTTTTCTCAAAAATGTAAGTTATAGTAAAAAAACAACTTCGCAAAACTATTTCTTCACAAAAACGTAAATTGTACTAAAAATTAATACTTATGAACTTGTTCTCCATCGTTTTCTATAACTAATTGTAATCGATAAGGTATTTCATCCATCATTTTTTCCATTCTTTTTCTGTTTCTTTTTCTGTTTCAATTGATGTGGCAAACACTTTTCCACGAATTTTTTCTTTAAGTGCTCCCCATACATTTTCGATTCTCCATACATCGGCAAATTTAGTATCACCATCGACTGGTTTTATACGTTCACTAAAAAGTTGATCTACTGTTTTTCTTACTAATGTTGTTCGTTGTTTTCGATCCTGATCGTCCTGAAAAATTGGATCTAGTTTAGTTTTTCGAAATACTGCTTTGATTGCCGGAGCAGCCTTTTCTTGTAAGAATTTGGCATATACTTTGTTTGTTAAATACTTTCGTTTTCGTTTGTCGTTGCATAAAGTACGTTGTTGTTCTAACCATTTAGTAACATTCATTGGTGCTTGTAATGGGATAAGACCTTGTGCTGATACTGCACCCCAAAATACTATACCTTTTTGAAATTTATCTGTTTTTGCATGAATCAAATCAGGTTCAATTTCTTCACCTTCTACAGCCCACACACCATCGTTTTTTTTTATTATAAAAACTTTGAAGGGTAAATAAACCTGAGAAATCACAATTTACAACACGATTCCATTTCCACTTATTACAATTTTTTTTAACACCAAATTTTTTTCTTAATCTTTTTGCACATTTAACATGTGTTAGTTTATCAATATTCGTTAGTTTGTGTGCTTTTATCATTTTGTACCATTTTAATTTTAATTTTTTAGTTGCTCTGTAGACTGAGGGTGTGGGTGTGAGTGTGGTTTTAGATAGATGGAATGCTTACACCCACACCCTTCAGATGAATCGTAAATTTTAAAAAATAGAAAAACCTCAATTGACCCTGGTAAATCACTTTTAAATTTTATTGAGCATGAGAAATTTTTTTATTCAACCATTAGCTTGCCTTTCTGAATCAATCATTAATGGACAACGATTCGAATTTTGAATTGTGACTGTATTATCAATTAAAAATGCATCTTTTGGTAAATCATTTATATTTCATGGCTAAATCAAATACTAGAAAAAAAAACAATCCAATGAAAATTCAATGAAAAGATATTTTTACTTGAATTTGAATTGGTTTATCGAATGTTTCAGCTAGAGAATATTTTTCACCACTAGAACATGGTCATTTCTTCTTTTTACATAAACCAATTCAATCATTCAATAAAAAAAAGGCATTCGACCAATTCAATCATTCAATAAAAAAAGGCATTCGATCAATTCAGTTATAGCAATTCTGGAAATTAGATCGAGACGAAATTACTAGAAATTCCATGTTGACCCAATTCCTGAAGCTTCGAGAACTGCTGGCATTCGATCAGCGTCCTTTGGAACTCTGATTGTGAATGTTGATCGAGTTCCCGAATTTTCTTGGAATTGATTCTGCAATGTTCAACATCTCGGAATAGAATGACTGCTTAGAGATCAAAATATTCACTAGAATATAAAATTCAACTTGATCCTATGTAGTTTTATTCGAAAATGATTAAAACTTTTATCAAGAAACGATATAAAACTTATCGATTCTCAGAAAGAAAATATTATTTACTGAATAGGTTCATCATGCAATGAACTAATAAATGGACTTAAATAACCAATAATACCTGATGAAACTGAAACATCACCAAGCAAATTTTTTGTAAATTTTCTGCTGTTATTGTCCAATGTATTTTTTTTCACCACCTAAATTATCAATTAATTTTTGAGTTCAAATTAATTTTTTAGCACAAAAATCAACTTCAAATTCTAATTGTGTTTTACGTTTTTGTAATGAATCAAGATCTTCTTGAAGTTTACTTGAACGATTTCTCATAAATAAAATAATATATATTTTATATCTTAATAAATAAAATGATACAGTCGATTCGTACTAGTTGTGCACGTTTTTGTGCTAATATTGCTTCAAGTTCTTGTACTTCTCTACCAACTCCTTTAAGAAGTCTTTGCCTCCTCCCCCACACCCTCATTCCATATGGATTTCTTGTCGGAGAAGGATATAAACTGAGAGAAAGTTTTGACCTGTATTTTTATATGATTGAATCTGGTAAATTTCATCGATTGATTGCATAAAACATTCTAATCAACTTATCTGAAGTAAATTCGCCAACATCAAATCTAAATGTATCGCTTAGACTTGATTTATTAGCCGTTGAGGTACGAGCCACTCATGTAAGGAACTAATATTTTGATGAATTCGATCCATCTCGATATGTTTGGATCGAAGAATTAAACGAATCCAGCACCACAACTGTAGCAGTTGATCGGTGCATATGGTTGTTTTTAGGCACTTTTCTACTAACTCGTTCTAGTTTTGTTCATGATCCCATGCACGGAAAGGTAGGTGATAATCGACAAGAACAACGAACATGAATACCATGCTCACAGTTCGATACTTTCTGACATTGACATAATCTGCAATTCAACGAGAATTATTGTTTATTTTTCTCAGTCAATTCTTGATCAATGTACATAACAGCTCTTTTAATCATAGTGAGAACTACTCGAAATCGATCAAAAACACAGAGAACGAAGTGATATGAAAACTATTTGTGATAAAAATTTAAATCGAAGTCAATATAAAAAAGGATATCAATTATGATTGAATTGAATTTGTCGATGAAGATTGATTAGTCGAATATGTTGAAGAAAGAAATAACTTATTATAATCAGCATAACGTGTTTCGATATCTTCCCGATTGAGACCGAAATCAGCAAGAGAATATTTATGTCGGCCTTGTTTGCCTTGAGGATTTTCGAGTAACCAATTGTGCATAGCCATTTTCATTTCATCCGAGAAATGAAGATTGAAATGATCATAGATTTGCTGAACAACACCAATTGGATCTTTCATTAAATTGTCATAGGAAACATCGAAAATATTTTTTTGCGTTTTCTTAACTGTATCATTTTGTAAATTTCGAAATTTCATCATATATTCGATTCCTTTATCGAGAAATTGATAGCATCGTTTTATTATTCTATCTCGAGAGATCGAGTTTGTGTTGTCAAAATGATAACTTGCAGGTGTCAAGCACAACCTATACAGTGAAGGAAAAACTTCATCGAGATTTCGATGAGTCATAATTAATAATGCATTCGGATAATGTTGAAGAAATGTATCGAGACAATAAACACTGAACGGTGATTTTAATAACCAATGAGATTTTGGTGTATCAACACTATTTAACATGCGCAAAAATATTTCATGATAATCATATACATAATCTTTGCTTATTTCATTACGAATCCAATTCTCAGCATCGTCATCTTCATTGTCAGATAGATCAAAGTACAGTGGAAAATAACCAGCTTGACGTGTAATAAAACAATCTTCTTCAATTGAAAAATTTGGATGAGATGCAGCAAAACTAATGAAAAAATCGGATAATTGTTCACTGATCATTTGAGAATTAAAAATATCCATTCGTCGGTTTTGTTCAATTGAATCGGATCGCGCTATAGGCGGAACAACATCAATGCACATATCAGTGTACAATGGTGCACGACATTGCGGATCACAGGCAAGTAAATTGTAGAGTAACGTTGTACCTGTACGTGTAAGACCACAAATAAGCAATGGACCAATAGTAGGTAAATTTTGATCGACAAATTTATTATGTTCAATTGCATAATTTAAAACACGTTTACAATTTATGTGTAAATTCTGAAGTTCGGATAAAAAAAAATTTCGCCCAAAAGGTGCTATATATTCATTACGAAGTATACTTTGACGATATGATTCAAACGTTCGAAATATATTACTGTGATAAGGAAAATGTTTTTTGGCTTGTTCAGTTAAATCATCTTCGTGTAGAATAATATCATTCAATATTGTTGAACGATCATTATTTGTTTGATCTGATGATGTCATACTCATCGAATTCAACAGTAATACTTTTTTTTTTGTAAAGACTTATAAATGAATCTTGCTTACTTGTTTTATCTAAAAGCAATGATTCATAGACTAGTATTAAAAACATGTTGACCTTCATAAGATAGCATTCAAATACCCGAGTACAAGGATCTGAGCGGAATGATCTCAATAGAATTTCAATAGATGTACTCAGTAAAATAAAAGAAATTGCATAAATGATGTATACTAAGCTTTGACCCATGTAATCAATGTTGTTTGCTTTAGATGTTTTGATAGTAGAGAAGGTTGACATTAACAGTATATATATATATGTATTTGCTAGACATCGAAAAATATCATGCGTTATAATGTGAGCTTTCTGACTATTATTCATAGATATATCTTAACATGTCACAGAAAATTTTTCAATCACAGTGCTGATCAGAAGCACCAGCATATGTGAAGATCAGCAGGAATCAAGTCATTTTTCACGAAATTAGTAGCAGACATACAGCTCGAAGAATTATTATCGTAAGCACCGACTAAGAATGGATTTACAAGTTAAATATTATTATTTTTAGTTAGTCGATCGAGTTCGAGTTGATGCTTGCAATGATAGTTTTTTTCGAGCTGTATCTCTAGTACCAATTTTGTGGAAACCAATTTGACTTCAGTCGAA